ATAATGTAAGTCATTGTGTAAGCCTTAGACTGGGGGTCATTATATCATCTGTATTTCTCTTCCTTCCACATCCCTCCAGTTACAACTGTGTGTATTTAGATCCCGCCTCCCTCTGGCAAGAGCACCCCCAGCTGATTACAATACATGATCAATACAAGATCCTATGGGGATAGTTTATATTTAAACCCTACCAATAGAAATATTTCCAGTTGAGCGTATGCAGATAGGCTAATCACAGCCTGGGATTGCTGCAGTGTTCCACAGAATGGGACAGTTTAGGTGACTCTTGTGTTATTGATGGGCATTTTGGAATGTTTTCCCCAACATTTTGTGGCAACAAATAGTGTCACACTAAAGACTGTTCTGTACATTTTCTTATGTCTAAATATCAGTTATTGTTTTTCTACTAGTTACCTTAAAGTAGAGATTATGACTCGAAGGTGCACAACAGTTAATCCCATAAGCCTTGGCACCATTTTTTTCTTTTAAATTTGGTAGTCTTTTAAACATTTTTCTCATGTGTTGGTAAGAATTATTTGTGCCTGGAGGTGGTAGCTCATACCTTTAATCCTAGCACTTGGGATGCAGAGGCAGGAAGATCTCTGAGTTGAAGGCAGCCTGGTTGGCCTACAAAATGAGTTACAGGACAGTCAGGACTACACAGAGAAATCCTATCTCAAAAAAATGTATATTCTGGGGAATAATTCTCAACCTATACATACAGATAACATATATGCATATATATACACATACATACATATATACATATATGCATATACATACATACATACATACATTTCCCTGTTTGTTTCTTGCTTTCAAATTTGGTGTTATTTAACAAAGGAGGTCTCAGATTTTAAAGTCATATTTGTGTTTGTTTTGTTTCTGTCTCAGGAAGACTCTGTGGCAAGGTTGCTTGTATGTTTTGCAGTATTATTAACTTTGAAATGTCCTGTTGTTTTGCTCTTTTATGTTTGGCTATTTCAAGTACTTAGGATTTGGTTTCACACTCATTAAAGGACAGTATCTAACTTGCTTTCATTTTCTAAATTGAAAAGCAATTAGTCCACTTCTCTCTAGCCCAAATTGAAATGCCACATTTTCTTAAACTAGACTTCTAAATATATCCATGTACAGGTCTGTTTCTGGGCTTTGTACTGATTTTCCTGATCTTGCTTGTTTCTGGGTCAGCGGCACATTGTTCTAGTTACATTGCCGTCTCTTTTTTCCATGTTTTGCTATCTGATAGGAAACCACTTTTTAAAAGGTGTTAATTATTTGAGAGGTGGGGGCACTTTCAGGAGTCAGTGAGTCAGAGCTTTTGCAGAGTGGCACCTGTGACTGAGTGCTGGATGAGTGGGTGCTGGGTACTCTAGGTGTCACACTGCACACTCTTAAGGTCTCTGAAAGACGGTTTTGACAATGATAGGGCTTCTAACTTTCCACTCCGCTTCCTACTGCAGCTTAGCTTTCTGCATCGGATTATTTTGTAAGAGCCTAACTAATGTTTTATTTTGAATAAATAATATGTCTGCAGTATGTATAACTCGGAAGGGACAAAAGTGAAAATTGTCTCCCTCTAGTTCTTAACAGTCAACCGTTCCTATCAGTTTCCTCATGGTAGTCCGGCATGCATTCTGGCCCAAACTTTGTTGCCCTACGTATCTCAAAGTTCAGTTTATATGAACATGTAAGATTCTGTTTTATGAAATGGATGTACCATGATTTATTGTTCAGAATAACAACTAAGTTGTTTTAATAAATGCTTTCAATATGTGTAACTTCTCACATATCCAGAATAAAAATTGCTGTCCAGCGTTGGTGGCGCACGCCTTTAATCCCAGCACTAGGGAGGCAGAAGGCAGGCAGATCTCTGTGAGTTCGAGGCCAGCCTGGTCTACAGAACGAGTTCCAGGACAGCCTCCAAAACAATACAGAGAAACCATGTCTCGAAAAACCAAAAAAAATGTTGTTTTCAGTGTAGTCAAATGGGAAACTTGACATTTGAACAATTTTGTTATCTGAAACTGTGGTCTGTTTGTCTTAGCTCTGTTGTGTGACTATACATATGGGGTCTATTTGTATATAATCTGTAATAATTAGAGCAGTTCCTTGCCTATGTGAGAGGTCTAAAATTTTGATTGTCAATCCTGTAGCCTTATCCTACTGAACCAAGGATTCTAAATTTTGTTTTAACAGTAGAAGCTAAATTAATATATATATATATATAGGGCCTTTATAAAGTTCTGTGTAATAATGCTTATTTTTAGGGGGATCTTTTATATGCCTCTTATACTGTCTATATAAGCCTTCTAAGAATGAATAGGCATTGGACATTTGTACACAAGTTTGGAATCAGTTCTACTCTGGTTGATTATATCTTTTGTGAAGCTTTGTAACTATTTTCTGTTAGCATTCTTTAACAGTGTTTGCTCTTGGTAGTTGTATATTTGTTAAGCTTTATGAAACTGTTGTTTGTGAACATTCTGCAGAAGTACAGCCTCTGACAAAGGAACACAGACAATATTTTTGAGATGTCAGGACACTACCCACAGAATAAACAGAATGGACTCTAGAAATGCTTGACCTGTGAGCCATTCCTTCTAGACTTCTTAGTTGCTCAAAATTGGCCATAAAAGCTTTCTGGCACTAATAACTTGACACCTGCCACTTATTCTCCCAATGCAGAATCAAATCAGACCAACCAACTGCTAATATTATCTTGGCAATGAGACACAAGAGAGAACAAACCCTCTGCTGGTTAGTCAGTGAGATCTTCAGAGAATATTGTTCACAGACAAGGGAGGGGGAATTGTCAGAACGAAAATGAAGTCATGTTGGATGTGGTGATCTCAGCACTTGGGAAGCTGAAGATACCATAAGTTTGAGACCAGCCTGGACTTCACAGTGAAATTTTGTCTCAAACCAACAAGATAGAGTTCCTTATGCCAGACCTTCCAAAAGCAACCAAAGCCAAGAGGCTCTACAGAAATGGTTCTTGTGTACTGTATACTAACTGAATGTGTTCTAACCTTGGCTCCGACTTGTTTTAGATGCAGGTATAATTCACTGAGTTGTTAAAACAAAGAGTATCTGATCTCTGTGATTTCAAGGCCAGCGTGGTCTATAGTAATTCTAGGACACCAAGGTCTGAAAAAGACCCTGTCTCAAAAACAAAACAAAACAAAAATAAACAACAAACATAGAGTTGGGAAATGTAACCAGCCTGCCTGGCACAAATGAATACATTCTAGAGAGATACTTATGTCCCTCTCTTGGGCTTTCATACTATTCAAACAATGTACACAAGCAAATTAGAATTTTCCCAGGAATCTCCTGCTTTGAGAAGAAAGTATGGAAGCCCTGGTGGCATTGGGAGGAGAAATTTGTCCACCAGAAGAGGAATCTAATATCTTTTGGAGACAGATTTGTAACTTGTCAGATAGCCTTGCAGAAGAGACTGGGGCAGAGACAGTGGTGGCCAGGACTACACCTTGGCCAGACAGCTTGGTTCTGTATACATCTTGCCTTCTCATTTTAGGATTCTAAGTTAGACTTGGGGTCCACTGGGCATCTTTGTACCACTTCCAAAATGTGGATATATTGAAGATTTTCCTGTATTCTGCTTTTCACTGTAAACAATAGCTCTGCACATGATATTAGTGGTCCAGGGAGTACTTAAAATCTCAGTTTTGATTTGTATTGTTAGATTGATCTCTAAGAAATTTTGAGAAATTTCACAATAAATAAAGACCATAATAGCATTTGATACTGGGTTTCAGACCTGCTCAGACATATCCAAGCATTATGGGACACACTGTAGAGGCTTTGGACGGGGCTCTGATAGTGAGTCAAACTCTATGTGTATGAATGCGCATGTATGTGATAGTGAGTCAAACTCTATGTGTATGAATGCGCATGTGTGCGATGGACCCATGCTAAAAAGTTCAAGGAAGATCCAGTCATCTAATTAACGAGAATCCTGTTTAAAGCTCTAATAATGAATGAAAATATTAGTAGCTTGAATAAAGAACTTGTGCCTTTATTATTCATTAGAACCTGGCAGTAAATAATAGGTTTGCATTTCACAGTCATGAGGCTGCTAATCAAAGCACAGGACATTGCTTAAGATAATAATTCATTATCCTTCCCAGTAGCAGCATAACAGGGCTTGTCTTTTTGAATTGCTAACTGGGCACTACTAGCCTCTGTTAGGTTCTTGGACTGATTCAGAGGCTGGCTGGTAGTCACATAGCAAGAAGAGAGCACTGTCTCACATATAGGATGGGCTATGATTGGGATCCTACTCCAGGATTCAGCATGGTGATGGTTATCCCACTGTCCTTGTCAGTAGTAATGCATGCTGGTGGGTTGCAAAGGGAGATTGTCTCTAAGCAAGAAGCCATTGGGGAGGCAGAGACTAGTTTTGTTCTAACTCGTGCTTCGTGACTTGATGCTGGTTTTAGTCTGCTCCCACCCCTCCACACCTTATGTCATTTCACCTGGTATCTGCCAGTCAAATTCTTCTTCCTTTCACTCTCTCTGTTCTCATTACTACTTGACTGTTTTGGGGAAGTCCCCCTCCCTTTCAACACAAAGCAAACACCAAGTTTTCAGCTTCTCCTTCCATGTGATATGGGCAGAAATGAGATCGATCCTCACCTTCTGGCCATCTTTCCTTCCTCCTTTAGTGTCTTCTCTACTTTTATAGCTCTTCACAAATTCCGGTCACCTCTGGTGGGATGAAAGGAGGCTGTGCCACTTTGCTTGACTGGGTTCCCTCATTTGGGACACCCTCCCAGATTTCTTCATTCCTTCAGTGGCTTGCTGCTCTGTCACCTTTGGTTGTTCATGGGTCTGAGGACCCAAGCACCTCCCTTAAGTTAGCATTTAGTACCTGCTAGTAATACCCCACGCTCTAAAGACAAAAGTGCAGAACTCTCAATTAGTCTGGTCAGAGGAGATGTCTTGAAATGAACCAACCACCAAAATAATCATACTCCATTAACAAAATTTTATTAGGAAAAACTTCTCGACTTGCCATATTTACCCAAAATGACAAGATTTTAATCAGTTGAATACAAAAGTTTCCCCCAGTTTCTACTATTTGGAAGCAAGAAAGATGACATGCAGAGCAGTATACCCGATACCATAGGTCTAAGGCCTAAGAAGTGATCAGCAAAGCATGCATTAGTTTTAAGCTTTGGGCCTGAGAAAGACATCATTCTCCATCTCCCTCAAAAGCAAGTCCATCATGTCTTGGGCTCCTCAGTCTGAAGCCTGCTCTTTGGAGCCTGATAGCAACATCTGCATTTCAAGAGAAGCTAGGCTTGAGGTATCTTATGGCTTCAAAGGCACAGGTCATGCAGCTGAATTAAAAACTATTGTGTTGATCTCTCCAATGCATCCTTGAGCACACTGGGAAGGGGTGAGTCCGGATTGGTGCTTGTCCTTGGTGCCTCAGTGTGGCTTAAATGCCACCAGCCCTATTATTTTTGCCTTTTTGCTACCAATCAGCCACCAGTATTGGAACTGGGAAAGGTCAGGGCCCTGCACAGTCTCCCCCATGTGGATCATGTTGCAAAATATGTCTTCCCAGCATGCAGAGGGAACCTGCTTCAAGAGCCAAGAAGTTGCTCCAGTGCACAAGGAAGGGAGGCTCATCATTTGGATAAAACACAGAATGTGGGAAAGAAACCAGCTTTTCCTGGAAAGAGTTCCCTTAGACTGGCAAGAGGCCCTATGCTTAACATAGACACACCTGGAGGCAAGTAGCTCCTTGGAATAGTGGGAAGAACAGTATGGAGAGAGTGCCAGCAAGAACAACAGGGTCCCTAAGGCATGGAAATTCTCCGAGGCCATCAATAGTGGGCACTGAATACTCAGTGGGCTCTGCCATGGCCTTAGAATCAGTTAGAACAATTGGAGCCAAGTCCTAAGAGATAAGAACTGTCGCTATGCTCAGAGGCTCTTTTTTCATGTTGTTAATGCTCCATAATTAAGGGAAGGTAGTCCATACTCCACGTGAAGGGCCTGGAGAGCCATCTGAGGAGCAGGAGGCGGAGCCCCCTGCAGACCCGGCACATGTGGTTTATCCCAAAGGCAGCTAGACCTGACTCGCCTGGCCCCCAATCCAGCAGTAAAAATGGCTGTCAGATAATTAAATGAGGTTGGATAATACAGAGGGAAGGTAATGAATTCTTGTCTCTGAAGGCACGGGAGGAAACATGCGACAAGGTTTTGATTCTGTCCAATTTATGTCCTTAATACTTTCTGTCTCTCTCTGCACTGCCTCTTAGGCTGTTGGCATTCCGCAGCGGTCTTGCGTCACTGTCACTTGTGATTACATCTGCCCTCACCATGAAATTAGTCCATCTGGGGTTGACTCCGGGTCTGCTCCAGTTTGAGTTCATAGCTGCCGAGGCCAAGGTCTCCTTCGTAGATGTTTTCCTTGCCTGGAGTCCCGAGTGAAGGCTTCTGATCTAGGGCTAGCTTTGTGGCAGGACTGCTGGGTGAGGAGTCTGGTTCCTGGTAATTCATGGCGAGTTCATCTTGGTTTACAATACATTCCACATCATCCTCTTTCAGGTGTTCCTGGTTTATTAAGATGGGGGGGGAGGAGAGAGAGGGGGGGTCACTTCATGATGAAGGCAGAAAACAGAAGCATTTCTACTGCGTTAAAAAATAGATTTGTGTGTGTGTGTGTGTGTGTGTGTGTGTGTGTGTGTAATACATACACACATGTGAGTGGATACCAGAGGCTGACATCCTGTGTTTTTAATGGTTTTCCACTTTGCCTTTCTTTCTTCCTCTCTATTTTTTCTCTCACTAGATCTGGACTCACCAGTTAAGTTAGACCATCTGGCTAGTGAGCTAGCTCTAGGCATCTTCATGTGCCTCTATCTGTGGGATTACAGGTGCATGGCCCATGCTGGGGATCCCAATTCAGGTCTTCATGTTTTCACAGCACATGCTTTCCCGAATGAGCCATCTCTCCAGGACTGGAAAACCCTTTTCTTTGAATTAATGGCCACTTTCACTATGGCCCATCTGCACTTGTTCATGGCATAGCATTCTCTATGTCAACATGAAAACTTGGCTTTCTCCATAGCCTCAAAGAGTCTCTGATCCTGTGACCCATCTCCATGGGCTCAGGGGAGAAGAATGGGATTTGGTGGGTTTTCTTCACTGGTACCCAGGAAGGTGGACCAGAATCAAGACAGCCAAATCCTGTGTCCTTAAAGAGGCCCCATCTGGGTTTGAAAGGCCCCTGCCTTCTCGAAAAACTCTTGGATCAGGATGTTATGTTTCACTTTAAATGGGGTTTCAGGACATTTCTTGAGATAAGTGTCACAAGACTAGAAGTGACTGACATTGGCCATAAAGGATGGGATAATGTCAGAAATGAATATATCTGACCAGGAATGGTCACCTCATCCAGAAGTTCCCCCAAAGAGAGTGGCATCTCAGCTCTTCCATTTGTTAGGAAGGATGGCACCTTAGGACAGGGTTCCACCTTTAGTCTACTCTGGGAGCATCTGAGAGCTATTTAAAATGAATCTGTTGTGTGAGGAGTCTTTCGGTCATGTTCCTGTGGGAAGCCCTCAGCGGCTGAGGTTATCTGAGAGAAAGAGCCTCCTTCTGTGAGGATGCTGGCTGATGGCTCCTTAGGCCTCTCTCAGCTCCCAGACTCTGTGCTTCTCCAGTTGCCCGACACTCTGATTTGCTGGTAATGACTCTAATTGCTTCTCAGTAGTTTTGTTTTGTTTTTTATTCTACTCCCCTGAGCTATAAAGCACAGACCTAATATCCAAAACTTCAAAACACAGCAGTTTGTGAAGACACATCACTTTTACATTTTCTAAGTTCATTTTATGATTAAAGATATTGGTAAAAATAAAAAAATCCCCCATTTTTTTTAAAAAGAAGAAGCCAGCATCAGCAACAACTGAGCAGAGAAGAGAAATACTTCTTGGTGCAGTAAATGTCAAAGCTGCCTCCCCCTCAAGCTAAGGAGGAAGCCTGAGGTCTCTAGCTCATCCATACTCACCGGGCTTGCCCCACCTGACTGTTCACTCACCCCGTAGGCCTGAGGACTGGTAAGCAGCCTGGAGACAGGGCCACACCACGCAGGCAATGTGGTGGTCAGTGGAGGACCTGAGTGGGTTAAGATGGGCTTCAGATATCTGGGGTGGGGCCTGTTAAGGAATACTTGTCAAAAGGAGGTTAGGCTTTCATTTCTCACACAGCAGAGACCTTTGCATGCTGTCCAAACAGACAGTTATGTTCACCTTTAAATCTTCTGCTCCCTCATTTAGGGAGCGATTTGGCCTGCAAAAATTGCTGTTCCTAATCTTCGCTCTATACACTGGTGTAGGCCTTCGGGTGGCCTTTTATCATGCAGACATAGCGAGGGGCTACACAGTGTTAGAGAAAGATGCAAAATGCCCAACCCCCTATTCCTCGAGACCCCACACGGTGGCTAATCTGTTTAGAGAATACCTTTTGAAGAATTACCTAGAACAATAGTATAAAAGGTGTGTTTCCTAAAAATTGTACACAAACACGAGTGTGTACATGTGTGCACACACACATACAACAAGAGGGAGAGAGGGAGAGAGAGCTAGAGTAAAACACCACTCATTTCCACAAAGAAGCAAGAGGTATTTCATAAAACGCTCAGCTATTTCAGAATTGGGTAGTCAACACTGAATGTTTTCCAAGATTCTTCATTTTTAGTATGCAATACAGTAACTTTATACTTCATACATCAGTACACTTCTATACAAAATTATGCAAATAAGCTGCTGCTAGGTTTGTTCTATTGTCTAGCACCTGTCCGTCTCATTTCTTCATCCCAAAGTGTTCCAACCAGTTAAAAGGAAACCTGTTCATCTGAAGCCATTGTGCTCTCCTCCAATCCATCAATAATGAAATCCCCAGAAGGAGCATCATGTGGCATTATTACTATTATTATTGTTATTATTATTATTATCTGAAAGAAAGTAGTGGAATTATTCCACCATTCTATTAGAAATGACTTCTAAGTTTATATTATTTCCTCTGCTGGAGTGTATTTTATCTCATCAACTTTCCACACAGTGATGATAAAAAGAGAAAGGGAGAAAAAAGAAACACTTGACACTGGTTGGCTTGTGAAGATCTGCAGCCACCCACAGGCACTTGGGGTGGGAGAAGATCCAGGGGATGGCTATAGGGACTACCCATAGCTGGAGAATACCTCGTTCACTCCCGTGATGTCCCAGCAAGTGGGAGCAGAGGGAGGATCTCTGGACCCCTCTGGATGCAGATCACTTGACAGTAAAGTGGCAATGAAGCAGGGGACTGTGAACGTGGCTCAGGTAAGGAAGAAAATAACTGACGAGATTTGCAAGCCAGTCTGCAGTGTTACGTGCAAATGGGAAGGTTGGCTCCTTTAAGATGAGTGGCTGGTGAGGTCACTTGAGGACCAGGGAAGAAATTATCCTTCAGAGACTGGCTTTGCTGTCACATCTTATAAGTACACAGACAAATCTGAAAGCCCTCAATGGTATCCTATTAATTTTCATTAGAGTGTTATTTCCTTCATTTTCTGGATGAAGGAATTAAGGCCTGGAGATATTATAATTTGATGTAACCTAAAGTCTCCCTTTGCAATTTTTGTTGTGAGCCTAGCCCTTAATGGCTGAGCCATCCCTCTATGACCCTCTCCCTCTTGCAATTTTAAATCCATCACCATCATCTCTGTCTTACTTAGGTTTTTATTGCTATGAAGAGACACCATGACCATGGTGACTTTTATAAAGGAAAACATTTAATTGGGGCTGGCTTACAGTTCAGAGGTTTAGTCCACCATCATGGCCTGAAGCATGGTGGCAAGCAGGAAGGCATGGTGATGGAGAAGGAGTTGAGAGTTCTACGTCTTGATCTGAGGGCAGCAGAAAAAGAACTGAGACACGAGGCCTTGCTTGAGCTTCTGAAACCTCAAGGCCTCCAACAAAAACATATCTACTCCAACAAGGCCACACCTCCTGTAATGCCACCCCCTGTGAACCAAACACATGAGTCTATGGGGGTCATTCCTATTCAAACCACCACATCTCCTTAAGAAGGGAACTTACCAAGGCAGAATCAGGTATGGCAGGTGATCTGCAGAGTTCCCTAGAAGCATCTTTTGGAGTCTCTTTCTGCTGGTGAGCTGAGCCTCTTCTGAGCTGGGACAGGAGAGGCTTAGCTGTCAGGGTTTACCATATGTACAGACCCATGAAAATAAGTGGAAAGGCTTTTCAACGACCAACTTAAGAACAAGGAAAACCTAGCCAACTTGGTTTCTTGAGGCCTAAGTAGTGGCATGTCAACAATGTCCTAGGGGTACCAGTGTGGTCAAGGCTCTAAGAGTGTGAGAGAGGCCCAAGGACCTCTATCAGGCTTCTCAGTGTGCTAAAGAGTAAAAAATGACAAAACAGGGTTATTTAAGTAAAACACAAGTTTAAAGTTGCACTAAGAACGTACTTTTAATCCTGATGAGGTACTTGTTTAAATTATGTACAATACCATTAGAGAAAACCCTCAAAGACTAAAATTCTAGGGTTTTTCTTTTTTGTGAATATTAGAACTAAAACCAAACAGAGCTATTTAACTCCTCCTGGATAGGCTCTGCAAATGATATGGACATGAACACAAGCTGTATTATACAACTGATGGTCCAGTTATTAATCTGTCTGAGCCTCAGGTTTGTTATACATAGTTACTAAAATAACATAAACAGAAGAATTTAAACTTTAACTTGCCTTTCAGATGCTATTTTTATGGCATTGAGGATTAAGACTAAGGTTTTTGTCATGCTAGGCAGGCACTCTACCATCGAACTACACCCTTGGCCCTCTTTTTACCTTTACTTTGAGATTGGGGGCGGTTCTCAATAGGTTTCCTATGCTTGCCTTGAACTCGTAGTTTTCCTAACCAAGGCTCTCAAGCATCTGGTGTTATGTCCCTTTGCCACCAGGCCTGGAACTATTTATCTGATTCTTAAAATTTGTTTTTGGCGTTCTAGTCCTTGTCTAAGTGACAGTGGGGATCAAAGGTAAACACACCTGCCACTCAGGCATTTGGTGCAGCATTGGAATTTATGAGCGCTGAGGCAGACCTTGTGCCCCTGGACATCTGTGTCCATTGAAAACTACCCAGTAGGGGCTAGCAGGAAGTGATGAGTGGGGGAGAGGTGGGCAGCCTTTGTTGATGGGTGATTCCTGGGATCTTGGGAAGCACACAATGCTCTTTGACCGTTTTGTAGTGGTGTGAACCCCAGGAAGCATGGCCTCTCTGCATGATGGGAGGTATGGTGCTCCATGCATTGCCAGAGATGTGGAGCCCAGACTGTACTCCCCAACATCTTGGCTTGCTCAGTGATGGCCATATATGATGTGCTCAGTGTCTGCTGAATCTCTGGTACAGGATGATATGGAGAGGTGGTGTGGTATGAGGAACAGGAGTAGGTTCTGAATGAGTTCCCAGGAAGAATGAGAAAGGCAGATTACAGCTAAGGCACAAGTTTTTCCCCAAGAATGGAAGGCTAAGACAGGTCAAACGGACCACTTGAGCTTGTACTGTTAGACAATGGGGGGTCCCAGGAAGCGTGATGATGACACAAAATTGGGTGTTTAGAAATTACCTTTGTGCCTCACTCACTCACTCACTCACTCTCTCTCTCACTCATCCACTCTCTCACTCACTCACTCACTCACTCACCCACTCTCTCACTCACTCACTCACTCACTCTCTCACACACCCACTCACTCACCTACTCTCACTTGTTTCTTTCTGTACGCTTTTGTTTTATGTGCCACACTAATGCAGGCTAGAGATGAACACCCACAGAGGCAGAGTAACAATTATGTGAGAAGATGGACTGCTTCGTTTCCAGCCTGCAGTACCCTTGGGTGCAGGGATATTCCTTTTATTTGTGTACAGTATTTGGTATATCTTAGTCACTCAATAAATGATTGCTAAATCAATAAAGACACCAGCTAGGCGAGGGCAAATAAAGGCTCTGTGGAAGGCAGTAGACCTGGCCTGAGACTACGGACCCTTTTCCCATAGCTTTCCCTCTTGTCCTAGAGACAGACTAAGTGGACCTGCCTAGTAAGATGATTGAGTGGGAACAGGGGAAGCAGCAACTTTCTGGTTCTTCATTGCTAAGCAATATCTGAAAAGCAGCTGGATCTCCAAGGTTACCTGAATTATTAAAAAGTAGGAAAAATCTTTTGATCTACAAAAAATATCCTCAACAGCAGATTTTGCAAAATGTGTTATTTTTCTCATTAGGACTCTAGTACGTGTTTGGGGAGGGAGATTCCTCAAGGGGCATTTGGTCTTGCTAGCTTTGCTTCCCTAGAAAGCTGAAAATGCACTGAGACAAAATGTTAAGCTCTTGGGGGAAAACAGCGGCTTTTCTCATTTTTAAAGGGACTGGTTGTTTGGTTCAGGAATGAGTGGAAGCTGGAACCCAGCCTGAGGTTTAACACATGAGAAACAGGAGAAAGCCATTAGCAAATGCATTTTCTCCTTTGGTCAGAGATATTGGAGCAAAATTTAGTACCCATCCACATTAACAACTGAAGTACCTGGCCACTCTGGTTTTTGTCTTGTGTTGAGGTTTGGCATACTGGATCATCATACTTCATTCATTTTAATTTACTCTAAGCAATGGATGTACAGTTTGTTGGTGTTTGTGCCTTGTTTAAGTGACGTTTCACAGAGAAGCAAAGACCCCACTTAAAGCCCCACCACCCCTTTGCATGGACTCAAGATTTGTTTTATTTATCAGAGTCCTGTGTTGGATATAAAGCCTTTGCTTCAATGGGATATTAAGTGGACATAGAGCCTCTGAGGGGTAAGCGGGATGTTATGAGGCCATCATTGTGTATCATGATGCCATCATTTGTCATCATTGTGTGTTATGATGTCATCAGTGTGTATCATGAGGTCATCAGTGTGCTGTCTCCCATGGTGTGATTAGTGTCCTCAGAAGAAATTTGCATTCTCTCTCTCTACCAGGAGGAGAGGCTTTACCAAAACTTGACCATGCTGGCATCTACTCTTAAAATGTTAGTTTCCAGACCAATGAGAACATAAATTTCTGGTTTCTGAAACCAAGTAGTCTATGGCATTTTGTTATAGAAGCCAC